CACTGATGATGCTCCCAATATGTTGCCTGTGTGAGAGAGCTGAAGCTTCGGCACCATATTTGCGTTGCACACACGCTGAATCTGATAGTGAAGAAGGCACTTGACCAGCAGCCTGTGCTCTCTGGTGGGCTTCTTTAGAAGCAGCACCACTGCTAAGGTATGCGCTTTCCCTTTATTCCAATTTCATTTAACTCTAAGAGTTTGTCTGTGTTCCTACTGCAGTGATTTAATGGCCTACTCATCTGTATCTTTAAAGGATAAGCTTACACAAGTGCAACTTCATCTGGGGATGGCAAACATGAAGCTAATGCAAGAAGTGGAGATTCAGCCAGTAGGAGCAGCGTTAGCTGGGTTACAACATGACATCCCTTCCTAACAGCCAAAGAGTTCAACATTGTTGGAGGGTGCCTTTCTTTGCTGTCTCCCTTCTATGATCCCCTGTAGAGCTGTCGGCAGAGGAAAACGTGCCTGCCTCCAAAGTTGTCCCCCCTCGTGAGAATGCTGGAGGACACCCTTCAGGAGGAAATGACAAAGCCGGCACCTGAAGCAGCGTTGGAAATGGGAGGACCTACGGTGGCCCTGAAGTACAAAACACAACGGAATTAACTTCTTACGGAAAGGGTAGGGCCTTATAGCAGAGGACGGACCTTCTGATTGGACAGACGGACTGTCTGTCTTTGTTAACAACTATTTTAGACCTTTTTTAACTGTATGTGGCATTAAAATACAACCCTACACATGTGTAACATTATTATAAAACCTGAGACTAATGCTGCTGTTATTTACATCAGACCGCTCAGAGTGAGTGCACAGTAAAATATCACGATCATATACGACGAAGGATCTTTGTTTGACTGAGAACGTTATCAGTTGTTCTGACTGAAAGTCAGACTACAAGCTGCTGTTATCAGTCGTGCTTAATGTGTTTCATGGTACTGAAATACAGCAAAGAGAAGTGATTAAACCCCATTAAAAGGAGACAAAACATGATCCTTGCTGTAATCTGATTATCTAATCAGAGCATTTCTCAGTGAAGTTTCTCACGTCTGAATTACGTGATTTTCTCCGTTTTGTGTAGTGAATTACTGTCCGATGGTTTTACTGTTTTCACTGTTTGAATTACTTGTGTTTCTTAGCTTTGTCTGCAAATTAAATGTTGTTCACAGCAAAAGAAGGAACCTAAACTTCACTGAGCAGAAGTCTCACTGCTTTGTCTTCAGTCTTCATTCAATAGGAGATCGTTCCTTTGTTACAAGGAATAAAATGTAGCAAAGCTGTGAAAGACACGTCGCTTTAGTGTTTTGAAAAGCTCTTAGACTGAGATACACATCAAATAAAACCTATAACATGCTAGTTTGAGTTGCCACTGAGCCACACGCCTCCCTCGCCGTAAAACACACACACAACCTATTATTTGTTTCACATGTAAGTGAAAAAAGGAAAATATAAAAGGTTTTCTATTCTCTGGGACAGACAGAAGCAGAGAATCACAACAAATCTTCCCAGAATGCAACCTGATTTCTTCTCCCACTTTCTGTCTCTGGCAGTTCATGAGGCCTTTATGGCTGCACCTCCTTCAGGAGTCAGGACCGGTCCCAGAGCGCCCCTGCTGGACACGAACAGCTCTTCCCTCTGTGCCGCTTCTGGGAATCACCTGATGAGGCCGCTGGGTTTCGTCTTGGTGTCTAGTGTGTGACACACAGTTCTGCCACGATGTGCAGATTATGACAAACACAACTTATATCTCTGCCTGAAGCTTCTTGCCCGCCTCGCTGTGCCACATTCCTCTGGAGTCAGTATCTGCCGTAACCCGTTTCTCCCCCAACTATGCGCCATTCGCACCAACTACATTATCATTTATCATACATTATCATACATCATTTAGCAGACGCTTTTATCCAAAGCGACTTACGTTACACTTTAAACCCATGGCTTTTTCACATTTTTGCCTGGGGAGCAATTAGGGGTTAGGTGTCTTGCTCAGGGACACTTCAACGTGGAACATGGGGCAGCCTGGAATCGAACCAACAACCTTGTGCTTCCCAGCACACCTTCTCTAACCCCTGCGCCACGACGACCCGGAACTAGGAGCGCCCGCCTCTCTTGTAGGGGGCACACTTTGCTTTTAACACAAAAAGAACAAAAATAAGTTGTTTTAATACATGGACATGAACTTAAATGCGGCTCCTACAATACATGTATGCATTTTGGGGGTTGGACATGCTGACAATAGGAGATCAAAGCACCCGCCTCATGATTAGAGGACGATCTCTACCAACTGAGCCACAGCTCCTACTGGCTGTCTTCTTCTAAGTCGCTTTTGAACGACTTCAAAATAAGTAAAAGACAACTATCACTGCCGATAATGTAGTTTTTATGTCTTTGAAATGGACACGTTTACAATTTCATAATCAAGCCACAAATCCCTGATTGAACACGTCATTTGGTGTTTGTAACGTGGGTCTGTGAGGAATCCAGGAGAGTTTCAATATTCAGTCTTTATTTACTGTTTTAATACAACACACATCCAGCTCCAGCCTCTTCGCCTCGCTCAGTCCTCCTCGATGTCGCCGGATCTCCCCTACTGAAGGCAGAACACACGCTGATATATTTCACCTGAGGCCAATTATGTCTCCTCCCCTCTCCGTCCCCTCTGCAGCTGAGCCAACTCACGTCCGCTACCAGTGTTGTAATGATCTTGTTCAAGATTTCTGATGTTGATGCTCAAAGACACACATTAAAAAATGTATGTATGCTCGAACTGCACACTAAGTTTGAATTTGAAATCCTGCAACTCTGTATTGATTAGTTATCTCAACTAGACGGAGACACAGACCTTGGAGAAGCCTTGACGCATGTCTCGTGTGTATATGTCATGAATTGGGAGACTAAGACGCAGACCTTCCACCTTCATGCATAACGTGTGTGTTGTCTCAAGTATATAATTCAGAGGGCTGAGACGCAGACCTCCGAGCAGCAACTCAACACACGACTTGTTTCAACTCTGCTCCTACTTGCTAGTGTTCTTTAATAAATGTCCTGTTCAATGATTTCACACACGTGTTGATTAGGACGGTCTTAATCAATGCGTCTCATGTTTTATTGTTTAATAGAAAGTAAAACCCTCTTCAGATATGTGAAGAATCACTGCTTTGCCCCTAAAATGTTCACTCTTCTTGCTCTTTTGTTGGACGTCTGCAGGTCAAAGACTCGTCCATTTATCCTCAGAGACAACAGAGAACACTGAATATTCAGATCATTGTAGATACTACGACCACAACATGTGCTGATAAGACGCAGGATTTACAAATGTTATTTTGTTACGATAAAATGATCTCAGGCGATGTGAGTCTTCCATTTGCAGCAACTCCCAGCATGCTTTGAACCAGTGAAGTGAAGAACACGACGTTTAGAGTCCAAAGGGAAACAACATGCATGTGATTGTGGCTGCAGTCACAGAGGGGAAGCACATGGAATCACAACAACACACAAACATCTGGAGCATTTATTGAACAGCAGGACAAAGGTACAAAAAGGGGAAATGGAGCAACTTCATTCCACCTTCATCTACAAAACAAGAAGTGATTCAGAGCATCACTGTTCAACTCCCACGAAACCAAGAAGGAAAACATCCCTTGATCCGAAACAGCAGCAAGAAATAGTCAATAACATTTCAATCAGTGTGCTCGGATGATTCAAACCCAAATTTAAATAATATGATACTTTAAAAAGGATCAAAAGACGTTATGAACCAATAAACATACTGATTTATTCAGAAAACCCTCAAATTATTATTTTCTTCAACCTGTTAAATTCAATCTACTGCAAAGAAAAATACAAGCAAACTATTTACACAATCAAAAAATAAATGTTTTAATGTCAATATTTTGTGTGTGTGTGTGTGTGTGTGTTGGGGATGGACTCCCTCCCCGTCCACACAGAGAGCTGGAAGCCAGTTTCTCACCAGCATGAGACGCAGACAGACAGACAACCAGCTCACAGAGTGTCTGGATGTCGCTGATGTGTTTGCAGTGTTTCCCCAGTGATGGAACCCAACGTGTGTGTGTGTGTATTTACACGTTTGTTACCAACAATGATTCAACCCAAACAGCAGAAGTTATCAAAGAGTAAATATGGTGGATTTGTTTGAGGATGAACACACTAGTCTGTGAGCACTTTGATGCTTTCATTGATTTGAACGTCTCCTAAATAATCATCCTCGTTTTATTTCATTTCAACCTTTTTATTAAAACCAAACTACCCCAAATAATTAAATGGACTATTGATGTTTCCTCAGTTTCCAGATGTTCACCAACCCTGATTCAGACGTTTAAATGAAAGATGAGCCATAAATTGACAGTTTATGGAGAAGAATGTGGAGCATCGCTTGTTGATCCAGAGCAATATTCACCCATAAACCTAAAGAGAGAAACAAATACATAAAAGAGAAAACGAAATCATTCACCACAAACTACTTTGACTCCATTTTGATAAACATGTGTTAGTGAGTTCCTAGAAGTTAATGTAAGAGCTTTGAATATCAGACTTTATCTGAGGAGCTGATGTGAAGCTTTCTGTGTCTTTCTCTTAATAATCTCACGTCTCACGGAACCAAACTGCACCTTTGTTGTAGAAAAAGTCAAAGACTTCTTTACATGAGAAGCTCCTTGTGCTCATACTGAGGGCAGCTTTGTGGAACAGCAGCTGTGAATAGTTCATGTCCACGTGGAGCTACTCACTGTGTGCAGGACGCCGACTTCAAGGTTTAGGGTTCAGTTTGTCCCTGAGAGACTCTCTTCTTCGGATTTGTCAGAAGGACATTTGGCTGAAATAAAAAGCAAAGAGAATTTCAGTGTTTAGTGTTCTAACAGCTTCCTCCCAGCAGATACAATCTCAGTTTTTTAACCTATTTCTTCCTCTAAAAGCTAAAATGACTTTCAACAACAGCCTGAAGAAACAACTAACTACGTTAAAGTGTCTCAAGTGCAAAACAATCACAGAATTGTCTAAAAGTAAAATGGCACTAAACAATAAATGCAGAATAAAAGCAAATCTGGTTTTATAGGTGTGACTGGTGAAAGTTGCTTCAGTGTCTCATTCTGGATAAAAGCATCAACTCAAAGCCTAAAATCAAATGCTCCTCAACACTGTCTCTGATCGTCTCTCTCACCGTTCCTGTTTCTGTAAACCTTGAATCCAACCACAGCAGCGATGATGACGACAAGAACAGCCACAGCGATGATGATGATGAAGGTGGAGGCTTCTCTGTGGAGCACAAAACAATCAAAGAGTCTTAAGCTGAACAGATGAAGCAGGTCAGAAGAGAAGAAGATCCACTTATCCAGCAGACCTGAACACACACACCATGTGACGTCATTTCTTTATGCCGTCTGCACATGAGGACTGAGACACATATTCAACCTCCTTCCTGAACTTTGCTCTGTCTGATTCACTGATGGATACATGTATTAATACACGTGTTTAATCATTCTGTCTACTCATCTTTAAGTGACCAGTAGTTGTGTGAATGCAGATTCTACAACGTCTGAATTGTGGTGACACGTTACAATAGTTCAGCACGGACTCAAATAAAGCTCTTACCTGGAATGAGTTTACAAAAGGATCCATCCATCCATCCATCCATCTTCAACCGCTTATCCGGGGTCGGGTCGCGGGGGCAACAGCTCCAGCAGGGGACCCCAAACTTCCCTTTCCCGGGCCACATCTACCAGCTCTGACTGGGGGATCCCAAGGCGTTCCCAGGCCAGTGCAGAGATATAATCTCTCCACCTAGTCCTGGGTCTTCCCCGGGGCCTCTTCCCAGCTGGCCGTGCCTGAAACACCTCCCTAGGGAGGCGCCCAGGGGGCATCCTCACCAGATGCCAGCCACTCTCCTGAGGAAACCCATTTCGGCCGCTTGTACCCGTGACCTAGTTCTTTCGGTCATGACCCATCCTTCATGACCATAGGTGAGGGTAGGAACGAAGATTGACCGGTAGATCGAGAGCTTTGCCTTCCGGCACAGCTCTCTTTTCGTCACAACGGTGCGGTAAAGTGAGTGCAATACCGCCCCCGCTGCTCCGATTCTCCGGCCAAACTCACACTCCATCTTCCCCTCACTCGTGAACAAGACCCCGAGGTACTTGAACTCCTTCACTTGGGGTAAGGACACATTCCCTACCTGGAGTAGGCAATCCATCGGTTTCCTGCTGAGAACCATGGCCTCAGATTTAGAGGTGCTAATCTTCATCCCGACCGCTTCACACTCAACTGCGAAACGCTCCAGTGAGAGTTGGAGGTCACAGACGGAAGATGCCATCAGGACCACATCATCTGCAAAAAGCAGCGATGAGATCCGCAGCCCCCCGAACTGTAGACCCTCCTCCCCCCGACTACGCCTCGATATCCTGTCCATGAAGACCACAAACAAGATTGGTGACAAGGCGCAGCCCTGGCGAAGGCCAACCCCCACCGGAAACGCCTTCGACTTACTGCCGAGCACCCGAACACAGCTCTCGCTTTGGGCGTACAAGGATTGGATGGCCCCAAGCAAGGACCCCCTCACCCCGTACTCCCGCAGCACCTCCCACAGTATCTCTCGGGGGACCCGGTCATACGCCTTCTCCAAGTCCACAAAACACATGTAGACTGGTTGAGCATACTCCCAAGCCCCCTCTATGATCCTGGAAAGAGTGAAGAGCTGGTCCGTTGTTCCACGACCAGGACGAAAACCGCATTGTTCCTCTTCAATCCTTGGTTCGACTATCGGCCGAACCCTCCTTTCCAGCACCTTAGAGTAGACTTTACCCGGGAGGCTGAGTAGTGTGATACCCCTGTAATTGGCACACACTCTCTGGTCCCCCTTTTTAAAGAGGGGTACCACCACCCCGATCTGCCACTCTTTTGGCACTGTCCCAGACTTCCACGCAATGTTGAAGAGGCGTGTCATCCAAGACAACCCCCCAACACCCATTGCTTTTAGCATCTCTGGACGGATCTCATCAATCCCCGGGGCTTTGCCACTGCGGAGTTGTTTGACTACCTCAGTGACTTCCACCAGGCTAATTGACAATGATCCCTCCTCCGCCTCCAGCTCCGCCTCCACCAAAGAGGGCGTAGTAGTTGGGTTCAGGAGTTCCTCAAAGTGTTCCTTCCACCGCCCGATAACCTCCTCAGTCGCGGTCAACAGGGTCCCATCCTTACTGTACACAGCTTGGATGGTTCCCCGTTTCCCCCTCCTGAGGTGCCGGATGGTCTTCCAAAAACACTTTGGTGCCGACCGAAAGTCCTTCTCCATAGTTACCCCGAACTCCTCCCATACTCGCTGCTTTGCCTCCATCACGGCAGAGGCTGCTGCCCTTCGAGCCTGTCGGTACACTGCAACTGCCTCTGGAGTCCCACCGGATATCATAACCCGGAAGGCCTCCTTCAGTCGGACGGCTTCCCTGACCACCGGTGTCCACCACGGAGTTCGAGGGTTACCGCCCCTTGATGCACCTAAGACCTTGAGGCCACAACTCACCGCCGCGGCTTCAGCAATGGAGGTTTTGAACATAGACCACTCTGGTTCAATGTCCCCTACCTCCACAGGAATGTGAGAGAAGCTCCGCCGGAGGTGTGAGTTGAAAATCTTTTGGACCGGGGCCTCCTCCAAACGTTCCCAGTTCACCCTCACTACACGCTTGGGTTTACCGGGTCTGTCCCGAGTCTTCCCCCATCCTCTGACCCAGCTCACAACCAGATGGTGATCAGTTGACAGCTCTGCCCCTCTCTTTACCGGAGTGTCCAGAACATGCGGCCTCAGATCAGACGATACGATTACAAAATCGATCATTGATCTTTGGCCTAGGGTGCTCTGGTACCACGTACACTTATGAACATCCTTATGTTCGAACATGGTGTTTGTTATGGACAATCCGTGACTAGCACAGAAGTCCAGTAACAAACACCCGCTCGGGTTCAGATCAGGGAGGCCATTCCTCCCAATCACGCCTCTCCAGTTATCTCCATCGTTGCCCACGTGCGCATTGAAGTCTCCCAGTAGGACTATGGAGTCCCCTACAGGAGCCCCATGCAGGACTCCATTCAGGGTCTCCAAAAAGGCCGAATACTCTGAGCTGCTGTTTGGTGCATATGCACAGACAACAGTCAGAGTTTTCCCCCCCACCACCCGAAGGCGTAGGGAGGCGACCCTTTTGTCCACTGGGGTAAACTCCAATGTAGCAGCACTCAGCCGGGGACTTATGAGTATCCCCACACCCGCCTGGCGCCTCACACCATGGGCCACTCCGGAGTAGAATAGAGTCCACCCCCTATCCAGGAGTTTGGTTCCAGAGCCGAGGCTGTGCGTAGAGGTAAGCCCCACCAGATCCAACTGATAACGCTCCACCTCCCGCACAAGCTCCGGCTCCTTCCCCCCCAGAGAGGTTACGTTCCACGTCCCCAGAGCCAGCATCTGCCGCCCAGGTCTGTTCCGTCTAGACCCCCCACTGTCACTGCCACGCACCCGACCCCATCGGTTTCCTCCACAGGTGGTGAGCCCATGGGGAGTCGAGTGTTGGGCTGCCGCGTCACTCCTTCGGGCTGTGCCCGGCCGGGCTCCGCGGTAAACCCGGCCACCAGACGCTCGCTGTCGGGCCCTCTGCCAAGGGTAACCCTACCAGGAGCACAAGGCTCCCGACAACACAGCCCTCAGGTTCATAGGGACACACAAACCACACAAACCTCTCCACCACGATAAGGTGACGGTTCCCAGAGAGGACAAAAGGACAAAAGGATGAATAAACTTATTTACAGAGAAATGAACCAAATATTGACACATTTATATATTAATCTAGACCAGTAAACAGTGTTCATAACTCTCGCTGTGTTTAATTCTGATCCGAGTCTTAAAATGACTACAAATAAAAACTAGACTAGAAATGTAAGAAAACAAAACTTCCCAAATCTAAAACACACAAAGTGGACAAAGTGGATGTTTGCTTCCCTCCTTCACCGCTCCGGGTCTCAGACCTACCCGTGTTGGTCCTGGTCTTGTCCAGTTTGGTGACGATGTCCTCGTCCACACCAGACAGCTGGAACACACAGTCGTACCTCCTCCAGTCTTCAGCAGGGACGGAGGACAGTTTCAGGTCAACCCTCATCTGGAAGGTCCCGTCGTGGTTGGGGAGGATCTCTCCGAGGTCCACGTCCTCATGGAGCTCCTCTCCATCTTTCCTCCAGAAGAGGTCGGCTCTGTCGGGGTAGAAACCTGTAGCGTGGCAGCTGACTGGAGAGGAGGGAGTCTTCTGGAGGAGAGACACCGAGGGACGCTCTGGAGACAGAAGAGAGGGACAGGTTACATCTTTATTATTATCACTGATATTTAGTGTATTAATATCATTCATCTTTGATGTATTTAAAATGCCTCTTTAACACTCAACTATGTGTATTTAAGTTTACTAAAAGAATGGAATGTCTTTAAAGTTTCATTGATTAAAGAAGGGAGACAAACAGATGAAGAGGGGGGAGACGGATTGGAAGGGGAGGAGGACAGTGTGTGAGAGAGAGTAAAGAGACAGTGAGACGGACAGAAACACAGCAGAGACAAAGAGAGGATGGAGGGACAGAGTGGGGACAGGTGTGAGGGGGGAAGTGAGTGGGGAATTGCAGTGAAGGAGAGAAGGAGGTGAGGGGGGAGAAATGTGGGAGACACAGTGGGTCTCTGTGTGTCTCTGACATGTTGCTATGAAACAACAGAAGGTTTATGAGCATCGTGTCCATGGAAAGACATCAGGTCATGTGATCCTACCGGTTCTCATCAGAGAGCTCCTCCCGTAGTTCAAGAACTTCTTCAGCCCCTCAGGACACACATGAGTCAGGAAGTTCTTCTTCCCTGCTATCAGAGCTCTGTTCTGATTCCACTTCTGTTTGATGATGGAAGCCTCCTGTTTTGCAGCGATATATTGCTCTGTCTGCAGGTCAAATGATATGAAGTCTTCTCCATTATAACCATACTGATCATAACCCTTGACCTCATCGGTCACATCATCCCATTCACAGCCGTACATGTTCTGGACAATGTGGACACCTGAGAGAGAGAGAGAGAGAGAGAGAGAGAGAGAGAGAGAGAGAGAGAGAGAGAGAGAAACATATTTGCTTGATAAAAGACTTCAGTCATCATCTAATTATCAACATTCATGTTGATTCATTTTCTGTTCATCAACTAATTGATTCAATGTTTCAACACTAAGCATCGACTCCCTGAGCTCAAGTAAAGCTCATCTAATCTAAGCTGGAGTTCTAATCAGGATGAGAGGAAATCTTCTTCATCCTGAACAACACGGAAAAGTATTCATTGTGTTTATATACTTATATTTAGGAACTGGAAGCAGAAGATGTTTCAGTCAAGAAGATCTCAGACTGTTTAATCTGTGTGTGTGTGTGTGTGTTTATGTACTAATAACATAAAGGATGCAAATACAAACAAGATGTGTGAAACATAAACAAACCTCCAGTTTGGTTGAAGCGTTGTTTTAGTGTTTCAATGTTGCCTTTGAAGACCTGCTGGGCGTCCATAGAGTTCTTAGTGTTTCTCTTCCAGTACTGAGGATCATCCCCTCTGAGTCTGCTCACCCAGTTCTGTCTGGGTTCTAGTCTCCTGGTGTCACTGTCATAGTGAACAACCTCAACTTCATCCAGCAGCCCAACAGCCACAAACTCTGGGAAGTTTGGGACTCCAGAGGACGCAGTGTAGAAAAACTTCAGCGAGTGAGTCACTGGAACCAAAAAAGAATCATCATCAGTTCTGATGTCACACTTTAATTGATCAATAATTATGATGTTTTCCTGCACACGGAATTAAAAAGAAACACAGAACATCAAAGACACCCTGATAACATCTGCTGTGTTTAACAACTCAATAAATACAGAAATAAATGTTTACTTTGATATTTATGATGATTCAGCTTTTAAAAACAGACGTTTCGTCTTGTGAGGTTTTAAACAATAACTTTGAACTTTGAATTTCTGAAGTGAAGTGGAAGCACAAACGAGTTCAAAGGTCATTTATTTGATGTTTTAATTGCTGTTTACATTTGTTATATTAAAATAGAAATGAAATCATTTTGTTTTTGTGTTTTTTGAGATTTAAATTGTTTGAGTAGAAGGATTCTTTTTTTTATTCAACCATTTACAAACAACAAACTAATCTGACCAGTTTCTTGTGTATCTCTATATTTAAGTTTAACTATAAAATATCTTTGTGAAAAACTAAAGTATGAACAGATTGATACAGGATTATATTTAAGAAACGATCTTAAACTCGTCATTTTTACCTCCATGGCTGGCAGAGCCGTACATCGGGAGATTAAATACCGACTCCTGCATTAATCCCATAAGGAGGTACTTGCCACTACTGCAGGTACGACAAAGGTGGACAAAGCCACAAAGAAGTTTGGTATCATAGGACATTGTCATTGTCATGGATCCAACTGCTCCTCGTGAGTTATGGATCATGGGAAGAAATACCAAGACAGGACAGTTGGAGCGGCCTATATGAACGATTGTTCTGCTTCAAGAAGCCGTGTAAAGGTCAGGACCAAACCTTTTACAACTTTGTCTGTCGTCATCGAGAGAGTCCTGAGCTAAACATCAGAGACATCAGAGACACTTCAGCTGATGTCTGCAGCCTATGAAGACACGAAGCGTCTCTTCTTCTACAATCAAACACCTCATTAAACAAAGCGTCAACTCACGTGCTGCAGCGCCGTGAAGGCTCATCATCAGGAGAGACAGAACCGAGATCTCCGCACCGACAAGTCGCATTTTAACGTCCGCTTGTTTCACCGGGAAGGAGAGAAGTAGTGATGAGATGTGCCGACGCTTCGACGCGCGTGTCGAGGCTCGCTTCATTTAGGGGAGGAGTTTCTTATCTTATTCAAAGGTGAGGTGTTTATTGTGCTCCAAGGAGTTGGGTTACAATAACAACAGCGAGGATAAGGAGGAAACTGGAGCTTCAGCCAGCCATGATAAGTCATTACAATATTACAAATGCACCAACACGATTGTTCCCTGTTCACTTTTGTTTATTGTGACAAATAAAGACCGGTAACAGAAACTGTATTTATTCTCTTTTAACCAGCCACCAGGAAACAAGAGCTGGATGAAGCCTCGTCTCCATGATAGTGAAGGACACACAGCCCTTCAGTATTGTGGATGATGTTGGATTCAGGGCAATTTCTAATAAGGTGACATGTGTGGTCACTGATGATGCTCCCAATATGGTTGCCTGTGTGAGAGAGCTGAAGCTTCAGCACCATATTTGCGTTGCACACACACTGAATCTGATAGTGAAGAAGGCACTTGACCTGTTATTTACACCAGACCGCTCAGAGTGAGTGCACAGTATTTTACACAGTATTTTACTGTGCACTCCTTCCTATATGATTGTGATATTTTATCACAATCATATACAATGAAGGATCTTTGTTTAACTGAGAACGTTATCAGTTGTTCTGACTGAAAGTCAAACCCAGTCAGAATACAAGCTGCTAAAATCATTCGTGCTTGTTGTGTTTCATGGTACTGAAATACTGCAAAGAGAAGTGATTAAACCCCATTAAAAGGAGACAAGACATGATCCTTGCTGTAATCTGATTATCTGGGGGGGTTTATAACATGCTAGTTTGAGTTGCCACTGAGCCACACGCCTCCCTCTGAGAACATCTGCATGCTGCATCTTGTGTGCTCACTTGTGTGGACGTGTCAGACACACAAACACGTCTCACTGTGTAAAACACACACACAGTTTATAATTTTATCACATGGAAATGAAAAAAATAAAATGTATGTTTTTCTATTTTGGGCTATTAATTGTTTTATAAACTTAAATCCTCCAGATAACATTTATTCTCTGGAACAGACAGAAGCAGGAAATCACAACAAATCGTCCCAGAATGCAACCTGATTTCTTCTCCCACTTTCTGTCTCTGGCAGTTCATGAGGCCTTTATGGCTGCACCTCCTTCAGGAGTCGGGACCAGTCCCAGAGCGCCTCTGCTGGACACGAACAGCTCTTCCCTCTGTGCCGCTTCTGGGAATCACCAGGGGCCTCATTTATAAACGTTGCGTACGCACAAAAGAAGACGTACGCCGCTCTCCACGCAATAATTGGTATTTTTAAAAAGCAAACTTGACGGAAAAATGTGCGGTCCTTCACGCAAGCTCGGACCCATGCGTACGCACAAACGGGTGAAATGAGAACCGTCAGAAAATGCAAGAAACACGCAATCAGATGCGGTAAATGCCATGATGCCGTCACAATGCGTAATGACGCTGATGGCTGATCTTGCGCTCTCAGACGTGCCACATGGAAGGATTGGCGCTGTAGTGCAGCGCACCATCGGCCTGTTTAAGGGCAGATGGCGCTGCCTCGACTGCACTGGAGGGAGGTTATTGTTTACTAATGATAAGGTGTGCAACATCGTGCTGGCATGTGCTGTGCTACATAATGTGGCACAGCTTCCAAACGCGCCTCGACCCCCCGACCCGACCAGACCAGACCAGACTAAAACAGGCCGATGGTGCGCTGCACTACAGTGCCTTTTTGGCATTAGTAATGCCCACACTGTGCCCTCCAAAAAGCATTTTACTCCTTTCCACCTCGACAATGATCATTTCCACTTCACACTGAGTGAAGTCACTTTTTTTCGTTTTCCTCTCAGTGTTTGCTATGATTTCGCAATCGCTGAATATTAATTTGTGGGCGTTCCACAGACTATATATGGGCAACTATGGGCGTGACATGTGTTAAGGTTCTGGAAGGCTCTCGAGGGAGGCCTCAATCCTTGTTCTCGTCCCGGCCGGAAACGAGGACACGAATGAGTCGATTCGTTTAAATTCAAAATCAAAAAGTATTTAATAACTGAACAATGTTATAAGGAATACAAAGTGAAATACTAAGCGTACAGTGGAATATTTCGCGAAATAGAGAATCCTCTGAGCAAGTCTAAAGTGACTTATCAACGCGGCTGCAGGAGAAATTCTAACAGTCTTTCCCCCGCCATGGTCCTTTGAAAACTCTTGAGGTGTGTCTTCTTTGGTGCATTTGAATGTCATTGGCCTCTTCTCCAAAGGGTCACCTCCTCCATTGTCCCTTCCACGTCGAGGTGTGAAGCTGCAGCTGTAACCTGAAACCTCTCTGTTCATCTGTCCCTCACATTCCAATGCACTCAATGTAGATACATTACATTACATGTACTATTTAAACCCATGGCTTTTTCACATTTTTGCCCAGGGAGCAATTAGGGGTTAGGTGTCTTGCTCAGGGACACTTCGACATGGAACATGGGGCATGGGGCAGCCTGGAATCGAACCACCAACCTTGTGCTTCCCAGCACACCTTCTCTAACCCCTGCGCCACGAAGACCCCATACAACAACCCATCATTAATGATCACCGTTCATCACACTTCATCATAAGATCTAAGACAGTTCATGTGGTTCAATTCTCAAGACATTTGCCTCAGTCGGCTGCCTTACATTAAGTTGTTCATTTATTACCTGACAGGAGAAAAAACTCCCAAAAAACCCTCTTTGGGGATAAAATTGGGAGAAATCCATAAAGAACGGCAATTGGCATCCGTCCCCAGGTTTTAACATCACATTGTGACAGAATGTTAATGTGTACAGTGTTTATATGATTAACATGACTATGAATTGTGTTTGATTGAAATTGCATTCACTTAATCTAACATGTTATGTAATAACTAATATCTAATAAGACACAAACTATAATTCTAACACTAAACATTATTACAAGTACTATAATTTCTATTACTAGACATTCACTTCTACTTAAAACCCTAACACATGAAGCCGCAAAAGCTGCGCTGCATTTAGAAGTGATTGTGATTTATTAAGGGAAAACTGTGTAGGACGTGCGTGCGCACGGTTTTATAAGTCTGAATATTTCTGTGCGTACGCACGTCCTATGTTTCATCCGTACGCCACTTTTGGCACAAATCCTCCGCATGGTTTTATAAATGAGGCCCCTGATGAGGCCGTTGGGTGTTTTCGTTTTGGTGTCTAATGTGTGACACATAGTTCTGCCATGTTGTGCATATTTTGGCAAACACAACTTAGATCTCTGCCTGAAGCTTCTTGCCCTCCTCGCTTTGCCACATTCCTCTGGAGTCAATGTGACAATTCACACCCTTAAAAGTTCATTACTTCCTTCTTCCAACTCCAAACTCCTGGCTAAGTGGCAAGGGCCATTTGAGGTCACACAGCAGGTGGGGGATGTCGTCTATGAGGTAGTGCTGTTTGACCCGGGCGGAGCCACGCAAATATACCACCTAAACCTCCTGAAAGCCTGGAGGGAGGCAGAGTCTGTTGCTCTGGTGCCTAGTGTTGTTACCTCCCACCCTCCTGCTTCGAAGCTTGTGTCGAAATATGAACCAGTGCAGGACGAAGCAATTGTATCGGTGCTCGGTTCGTTCGCTGCTGATCACGTGATCAGTGACGTCCGAAGCTTCGTTCCGGCGCACAGTCACGTGACCGCTTCGAATTGATTCAAATGGGCGCGAAACAGGGTTGGGGCTTGTCTGTTTGATACAGTCAAAGTCAGTGTTGTTGTAGTAGTAGTAGCAAATTTACAATGGAACCTGTGGCAAAGAGAGGTCGCTTCGAGATGTGGGAGTACTTCAATTTGATTTCCTCTAACAAGGTTTATAATAGGCAGACAAAGTCTGTCATTTGTATTGTGTAATTATGGATGTT